GAAAAAGTAACTTTGCAACCAATCCTTGCATTTACAACCTTCACAGGTCTGTAAAGCAAAGCTGAGGATCATTAGCACAGTTATGGTTTCACTTTGTGTCCACTTTGCTTAATGACTGAGTTGTTGGTCCCAATTGTGGTTGCTAAATGAGGACTACCTGTAATGAAACATTTTATACATTTATTTTTGAATTTTGTTTCACTTTTCTACCAATAGATCATGATTAGCAGAAAATAAAAATAACAAGGTAATTAAGATAATTTGATTTCATGCTGGAAGCAAGAAGACACTTTGTGATACTTGGTAAATCTATAGAATGCTCTTTTGCTGGATGATGATTATCACCAAATCAATCCACTGTAGGATTAAAGGCCTCTTCAGTAAAGATGATGGACTCACACCACACTAGTCCAGTGCAGGTTGGTAGATAGGTGTTTTTTGATTTCTCAATCTAGGGCTGAGAGACAGTGACTAGCCCAATGTCATCTTGCCATCTTCCATGCCTAAGAGATGAGTAGAACCTGGATCTCCTTATTGCTAGATTATTTTGGGTCAAGTCAAAAGACAGATCAAAAGTTTGCTTTCTGAATTATGGACTCTGTAGTGCTCTCTGAAGTTTCCACAATAATTCTAATGTAGCTGCCTTTACATAAATGTATGCTACTACAGTCTGAATTATAGTATAGAGTCAGAATTCAGCAATTATGAGGGCTGTGAGCAGCAATGGTTATATCTCCACCTCCACACAGGAAAAGGAAATAATAGGCCCATATTCATAAACTGAGTTGGTGGCAGGAAGTGGTCAGGAGTGAACTGCCTTTCAGCCATTTTTCTTTTTTTCAAAGATGGGAATAAATTAAGTACCCTAGATTTTTTATGTTAAAGCCACTAATGCATTTTTACTTTAAAATTATCACAATGTCAACTGCATTTGACAGATTAACAGCAATTGTTTTGAAAGGGTGCAGTAGCAATTTTTGTTATTCTAATACCAGCATTTCTAATTTTAAATTTGTCTTCAAACTCCAGACTCATATCTAAGTATCTCTTAGCAGTAAAAGCTTTCCAGATATAAAGATGAAGTTTCACATTCCTCTAATATAAAGAATGTTCAAATCTGTATGTTTAACTGTAAATAAAAAAATCTTCAACTCAAGATCTTGTTCTCACACACACACCCTATTTTAAAAATCTTGACAATTGTTGTGACATTGCAATTTGGACATACCAGTTTCTTTACTAGTCCTACAGAACTCATTTTACAACACAGGAAAAGAAACAAAACAAATTAATTATTCCCAACAACTTTCAAGTTAGTTTTCAATTGTTCTGAAGTCTAGACATTCTGATATAATATGGTGCCTTATGTACAACTGATTTGCATAGCAGCCACTAAATAGGCACATCTATGGGATAATCAACAACCTGGAAGAGCTGCTGGAACTATGACCGGTTCCTTGGTCTACAATACTAGCATCACTGTCTTCATTTGTAATTTCAGGTCCTTGTCAACAGTAACCCTTCATCTTTTTCTTTTTGAGCAATCATGTTGAACTAACGTCTGCTCTAAGTACATCATTCTCAAGTCTATCCCACACCATAGCCCCTCTCTAATAAGGTCCATGCAGCAACAGAATTAAGTCTAAGAAATTCTTCAACTTCCAGACATAGGATGGTGGTCCTGAACTTGGTGCCCACAGGTGGTCCCTGTGTTGAGACTACAGCTTCCAGAATTTCCAAATTAGCATGGTCAAATTCCAAAATCTCTAAGTCACTATGCTCAGAATGGTTGGCATGATGTGTCAACTTCTGTTGAAAGAGTTTTGGATATGTTTGAAACAATACAAAAAATGTCACAGCTCCAAAAGAAAAGTGGAATTCTCTTTCCAGAGTTTGGGAAAAAATGAAAAAAATAAAAAATGAGGGAACCCTGAATAATCCAATAGCAATTATTTTCTCTGGTCTTGCTTCTATGTAAACAACCAGCCTGTTGTGTTTACTGGCTTGTTAGTCCTTGAGGCACACCGAAAGGGGAAGTGCACCCAGCTTTTCAGTATACCTCATTCTGTCCCATTGAGCACAGCTACTTCTAAAACCAATGCGGTAAAATTGGACTTATGGGTTATAATAAAGTAATGTATAACTATATTACAAAATGCAATTATTCAGCACATTCAAGTAATTTAGCCTTCAGTATGTTATGACTCTTTGCAATTTTTTTATTGGAATACCTTAGCCAATGATAGTGGCCTCATAGTTTTCATGAAAAAAAGCTCAAATATGATTAGAACTTTAAATGCAGATGTTCAGAGACCCTGTAATAGAGTTGTATTTCCAGTGATGATTGTGAGTTTTCTCATAAACAGTTTTTACTACTAATCCCTCAGGAACTCAGACACTTCTTTTGTTTTGAAAGTGGTTTCCATTTTGTCTGCCCAGCTCTCAAAGAGTTTGAGGGGCCTCATTTAGCATTTAAATACATTGTACAACACCATCTTGCAAAGGTTTCTCAAGCTGGCGCCCTCCAGATGTGTTGGACCACCACTCCCAGGATATTGTAGGAGTAGTAGTCCAACATATTCAGAGGGTACTGGGTTGGGGAAGGCTATCATAGAACATTATGGAACTAGATACATGCCTTTATTTGATTTGTGTAAGTTTTTTTTAAAAATACAAGCAGCGGAAGAGCTTTCCATGCACATTAACATGACACTGTGTACGAAATACTAATATAGAAATTCAAGACCTTGACAATTCTGGGGTGTCCACATAAATTTTAGGTAACTGACATGTGTCAATTTCACAGCCATTTGATAACTTCACCCTTCCATTATTAACTCTCCAGATATAATTTAAAAGCTTCAAAATATATGTGATTATAAAACAGATGCATTAGTTTTTCAAAAAAGCTAATACTTTTCATTGACTGACAACTTAAAATTAAAACAGAGAGCATTCAGTTCACATACCTTCGGTTATGTCAATCAGTTTCAAAGCTTTAAACAAAGGGTAGGCTGTATCAATGGTTAATGAAACTGCATCATGTGAATTCCTAAAAATTCCATACCTTTTTATTTTGTGTCATCTTTTAGCACCCACCATCATTACTCAAACGCCTTACCACTGTTTCCCAGCTTACACTAAATTTTAGGAATTAAACTTTATTTTTTTAAACAAAACTTTATTGGTAATAGTTTCAAATATGTTTACAACAAAGCACACTGTTAAAGAGGAAGTAGGGTTTGTTTTTTCTCAGTGAAACAAGTTTTGTTGGATTACATAGAAGTGGTTTTTGTTTTTTCCAAGACTGGGAGCAGATGGCTTTAAGTCTTCCCCTCCCCAACCTGACAAAGAAGGGACTGAGGAGCTTCTTGGTGGGAAGGGATGATGAGAAGTCAGGGGGGCAAATAAAACTTGTCTGATCCTAATAGCACTTCTGTGCAGATTACATCTATCAATCTAAAGATGCCCACTCTGCTCTCCAGCCATGGAAGGAGAACAGAAGAAACTTAAACTGTGAGTTTAGACAGAGTGAATTTGGAGTCAGGTAGGTGAAGACAGAATACAAAGAGGCATTGCATTGGAAAGGTGAAGGGGAGAATCAGAAAAATTTAGGACAAAAAACAAGCTGCCTTCCCCCCATCCTTTGAGTCCAACTCCCACTGCTTCTCTGTTCTCAGAGAAAAGACTCTAAACAGATGCCACTTCTCATTTCCAATCACAACTACAGACCAAAACTGGTCACTCCCTTGTCAGCATGGCACAAGTGAATGGGTTTTGTCTATTTTGTTTGTAAATCTCACCATCTTTATTATCAGGGTTAGGTTTTCCATCCTTCTCTTGTTATCTTAGCATAAAACCAGATCTTAAGGATTGGAGCAATGGAGAGTCCACCTACAGATCCATGTGTTACCAACACTGAGGTTTGGGCTGGAACAGGGAAAATCATATCCAGCCAATGTGTCTTGCCAGCATCTTCCACTAGGTATGTATTTTACCCCATCTTAATTGCTACTAAAGGGGACAAACCCCTTCAGACAACGACAAATAGCTAGATTCTCAGCTTTCACAAATCCTGCTTGTTTTTCATCCATTCAGACAAATACTCCAGCAGTTACCTGACACAGTAGAACTGGTCTTGAGATACATTTTGGAGGGGTGAGGGTAGCTGAAGAGAAGGAAAAAGAATGGGTTGGAAATACACATTCAAACAGTGTTTCTTCTCTTAGTATTCCTGCTCCAGCTGCAGCCAGTCACTGTCCCCCTTCTGCAAGTGTGAATATTATTGCCTCTTTCTTTCCCAAAATTGGGGACAAAGATTAGAAATCAAGTGTAGAAAGAAAGAAAAGAATAGAAAAGAAAAGAAAAGAAACCACATATTCTTCATGCTAAAATCCAGCTGTTTTTACAGAATTAAAATTCCTGCTGAATTTCATTTAACTGTGCTGGAAACAGAGCATATAAAAGCATTGCCCCCACCTAGACTGTTAAAACCCTTTTTTTTAAGCCAGTCAACTATTTCTTTAAACTTTTTCTTTAAAGTTAATAAAATGAGCCTTGGAAAGGGAGAGGGGAGGAAAGGGCTATTGATAAAAGGACAGGGTTGTCTCACAGTGGGAGGTGAGACAGTTGGGTCATAACCCGTTTAATGCTGGTCTAAACACCAAAGTGCTGTGTGGATGTGTTTACTTTCTGCCTTCCCCCCAATTCCCTTCCCCCCCCCTTTTTTTTTTTGCAATGCCCCAGGAACCAAATCATTATAGATGGTGATGAATTACGAAGTATTCCCTTTCCCTTAAAAATAAAAAGCCACCAAAAAAACAGGGACTGTCCAATTAGGGTTTGTGTATGGATTGGAGTCAGTGTGAGCAGGAAGGGAATTTGTTTTAAAAACTGCCTGAGGGTGGCTGGGAGCCACCTTATAGCTTGCAGTGGATGGTGGATGGATGACATTCAGGCTACTCTCTTTTCCACGGCTTCAAATGAACTCCCCTTTTCTCTTTTCTGCCCAAACAGATCCAGGTGAACCCCAACACGCTCCCACCTCCCAAAATTAACAAATAGGCAAGGAACTCTGGCCCTTGGGGCTGATCAAATCCAGCCCTTTCTTTTCCTGGGCACACAAAGCAAAGGGGGCTGGCCCTAAAATTCTGAAAACTCCTTGGCGCATTTTTCAGTGATGGACACCCGGATCTCCTCTTCCTCATAGTCGTCAAAGTTACTTGTGTCGCCGGGTCCTTTGCACTTTGGTATAAAGGGAGCTTCCACCTGTGGAGGGGATAGCATAAATTGAAGCATTATTATAATATGGGGACATGTTACCATGTGTTTATGATCAGTAGATCAATTATAATATGAAGCGTGAAATAGGGCTACCAGCTTGGTTATTATTGTAAATAGTTTTCTAGCTTTCTCCCCCTTTAAACAGGCAAGTAAGGGATATAGTGATCTTGACAAGAATATATATAGCCACTAGGTCAATTCTGTTGGCATGGAGAGCGTCAGATCCTCAACAACAGGCCTTAACAGGCCTTTTACACTCAGATGAATCCAATGAATATTAAACTAAATATATAGATCCAACAAAAGTGCTTACCTGTCTATCTATAAAGTGGGGTTAAGGAGACCCTGCTTCCTTATAGAAGACAGCAAAACACACAGCTGCTTAAAGCTATTTCCCCTTAGGTTACCTCACTTCTGGTATCAAAACAGGATTGGGGAAATTGGCTTAAAGTAGCTCCCGCACACTCATCTTGAAGTAAAGGACAGGCTTTGAGGGTTTTTTTTTAAACCAGATAAATAGGTAAGAATATCCTCCACAAACAAACGTATCGCTACTTTGCTTCAGCTCAGTGGGACCACTACCTAACTTTTTCCACATCTGCTGCTCAGCCACTTCTTCCCAAAGTAGAGGTTTATCAGTTGAGTCTCCCATTTCTTGTTTCTAGTTTAGGAAAAGCTAAGTTAAAACTCCAGAATCACTTGGGTTCAGACAGCCTATGTGCTTCGTTTTAACTAACCACGATGTGCTAACCAAGATACCATGCTTTGTAAGCTATGGATTTGGGTTAATTTAGTGTAAAAAATAGGCTCAGGAAGCCCTGGTTAACACAAACCATGGTTTAATACAATATATTAACCAAGCCAATGCTTATAAATCAGCCCAGCAAATCTGAGGAGATCCCTGGAATAACCACTGGTATTTGTTGGCAAACAATTCTCAATAGTGGAGTCTTTTTGTACCTTCTTTGTATTTAACTGCTGCTCAAAAATGAAAAGAAGCAAAAACAAAATGGGTAGGAGGATTTTGTTGCTGCTTCCATTGTTCTCTTCTGCCTTCTAATAAGTCACTTCATACAGATAACTCTAGGACTTAGACCAAGAGATCCAGAGGAGGTGTTAGTATCTTGATACCAATAACTAATGTAGCTGTATAATTAAAATTTTCTGTCAAATTGATGAAGGGCAAGTCTCATAGTAGCTAGTTGATATAGCACTATCAACTGCACAATTAACTGACCTACTCCAAATCATGCATAATTAATATAATTTACAGGAACTACAAATCCAGGAAAAGCTGATTCATATACATATTTCCTAAATACAATGATAATTATTTCTGCAAGCATCCATTGTGCTAACCCATGGACGAGCAAGCTATAAGACTCTACCCCAAATCCCATAATTGTGCTGCTGATTTTTCACTCGAAAATAGCAGCAACATATTTGCATTAAGTCTCCAAACTCCAAACCTTGAAGATAAAGGAGTCAGAAGTTTGGTCCTACTCTCTCAGCAGTGGCACAATGCCACTGACTTCCCTCCGGTGGCCCCTCAGTGGCTGACAAAGTAATCAAAAATTGTACAGGCCCTGCTGCAGAAAGACTGCCTTCTGTGTCCTAAGTGGCAATTGATGGAGCAAACTAAACTCAGACATGCAGATGGGCAGTCATTAATTGTTCGGCCCATTCCTAGTTTGTTTTCCCTCCTGTATTTTAGCTGTTCTTGCCTTGTGCTTCTGAGGACTGAGCAGAGGCTTTGTCAAAGCATACAAGCAAGCCAAGAAACCACAAACAACCCATTTAGACATCACCCAGTAGACAACTCAGAAAGCCATAATTGTAAACAAGTCAAAAATAAACCATGGTTTCGAATTAAGGTTTACTGATCTAGAACAAACCACTTTTTGTGAAGTGTTATGGAAGCACTTATGTTGGTGCTAACTTGGAGCTTTAAGAAATACATCCCCCTTTGTATATGTGCAAATGGCAGCCTTAAGCCCAGTAGGCAATTGACATTAATGTCTGATAATAATATGTACTGTATATTAAAAAAAAAGCCTGATGGCTGCAGTTGTTTACCTTCCGTTGGTAGATGGCAATCCAATCGGTGGTTGCAAACCACTTGTGATTCTTGATATCGTTGACTCCATTTTTGAGGTTGCCAAAGCGTTTGGTGAGGTCTACCTGTAGCAAGTTACGCAACAGGTCCTTCAGGTCTGAGCTGAAGTGAGATGGGAAGCGGACCTGGAAGCAGAAAATCCAAGATTTTTTTCTGTCCCCAGAAAGAAATCCAAAAGCTATAGGAACAAGATCTCTCATATGCTATAGCAGCCTATCTCCAACCTTGTGCCCTCCAGGAATATTTGGAATGGCTAGGCTAATAGAGAGCACTCTATATCTCAAGACATTAATTTAACACACTTTTGCAGTTAGAACATTTACCACAGAACTACAGTTCCAGGTTGGTTTTCAAGTACATCTTGTATTTGAATTCCCAGGAATTGGAGACCTTATTTTCACAAAATCTTCTGTCTCTCAAGATTTGAAGATAGAAAAGTACAGATGGTATAATAAACACCGTTGACACAAGAGGAGCAGGAGTTTTTTTTTTTTTTAAACTAACAAATAGTGTATGTCTCTCATGCTTTTTTCAAAGTGCCCTGCTTCTCCAGAATATTCCTGCATGAAACTCTCATAGATTGCCAAACTATTCTACAGAGTAGAATTTAGTAATTAATTCAAATTTAGGGCAAGCAGAGGGCAGATTTTGTGTCTTGCAATATTCCTGGTTCCCAATTGATTGATTACAGTAGCTTAACATTATACTACTGAAAAAAGATTTATTTTAATTTATTTGCCTAGAACTATACAAGGTGTATTCAGTACTAATATTCAAAAATAAAAGAAAATAAACATTTTGGGTTCAGGGTTTTAAAATCTAAGTGTGTGTTTCTAGCATTTGGATCTTGGGTTCTAGAAAAATAAAACAAGAAAAAGCAAAAGTAGATCTTTTATATCTGAGCTTGGCCCATCTTTTCTCTATTTCAACTAGGCAGACTCCAGTGGAGAAAGAGTGGCACCAAGGCTAGCAAGATAACTGTTTTAAGCCAAATGTAATTTATGCAAGTCAATAAATTACATATTTACCTAATGCATATAGCTGGAATATATTTTTTAAAGATATCTGATGTACTTGCAGAAGTTGGTTTCTTGGTTCATTTAACTTAGATTTGCCCCTGCAATGAACTAAGGTGCCAAACATAAATATCTGAGCAGAAAAAGGTTTTTTTAAAAAAA